ATCAGTGTCAGCAGAATTTTAATAAATATGCATATATGATATGTTCATTTTGGTCGTCAGCGTGGAATGCTGCTTTGATTGGGTGGTTGGTATTGAACACTTCAATTGATATGCATGCACAGCATTTGTGGTTTGCGCGCGCGAGCAAAGCACACACACAAACACATACTCGCATGTACAAAGCTCAATTAATTCATTTTCATAATTCAAATGATATAATTTTAATAATTTTTCATGTTTTTACATGGGATAATTGGCGTTAAGCCACACGGCACTGTTTATCGCATGTATTACGATTACTTAATCCTGGCCATTTGTTTGCCATGTGTGTTACCGTGTCGATGAAGAGTACCGTGTATTTTGCAAATGCACCCAACAATGTAAGAGATTTCGGTTTTACAACCTCTAAGAATATGGCATAACTGAACGATACATTTAGAAAAACAAACGACCAAACACAACAACGGCATGTTCAAAATAGAATATAATTTTCAACATGCCGAAGAACTTAAGAGAACACACACACACACACACACAAATTCAGCCGTGAAGCTAGAACAGTGTATTATTTTTTTAAACGTTTGGGCGGAATTTGAAGGAGTTCCATTACAATTATCGTATACACGGCAAACAAACCATAATTTTAATTAACCAATATGTAATTTGCACCGTGTCTTGGATTTCGTTTCTTGTGTGAACACAAAAAATCTGCAACTGTTTAACGCTTTGTTTACGCTAAATTACAACCATTTGTCATTTGAACAATTGTACGCAAAGAAGATCAACAAAAATGAAGAGAAATTGTTTAATATGTGTTTGGTTGTGACATGACATGAACAGCGCCGTTTCTCGTTTCATTAAACTCGTGTACAGTTCCGCTTGAAGTTCAATATTCATAACGTCTTGCAAATGGATATGCGTTCTGTGTGAAATTAGGCATCACAGTTCTGCCACGTATATGAAAAAAGGTTATTGGTTTTCACATTACAGCAAAAGTCAGAAAAAAGAAACTCGCGCAAGAGAGAGAAAAAGAACTTGAGTAGCAGTTCAAAACTCTTTTCTCTGCTTTGATAAAAACTTGAGTAGCTCTTGCCCTTTTGCCTATGCCAATTATTTTTATACGTTGCCTATTGTACGTGGGAATTCTGTTGGAAAAAATTATTTTGAAACCCACTACTTCGCCGTCTCTTCCTCCTCATCTTCCTGGATATATGGAATGAACACAAATGCAAACTCCTGTCATAATAAATCTAATAATCGCAACATATGCCTGGAACACTTCATTATGTGTTCCGATCAAATACATCGCTACATCTTCGTGTGTCCAATTTAAGGAGAGCGTATTAAGCCGATTTAAGGAGAGCAATGCAAACACACTGTGTATTATATATACTCAGACACACACACACACACACACTCACACACACACACACAAATTCAATAGCGATAAAAATTAACGAATGAAAGACATGCAAGTGTACCATGAAATTTACGTATTAACTAGCTATTGTCGAGTGTATGTTCGTTTGCGTCCATATGCCTCAAACTGAATTGAATTAACTCAACAGCCATAAGTCCGAAATGGCCGATTGGGGGGCTGATTCGGCGAAATGTATTGCATGCAATCCCATGCAACCTTATGTATAGCCCATTTGAGTGCTTTTCCAACTGAAAAAATAGCTTAAAGAGGAAAACCACACACACACACACACACACACACACGTACACTTGATGGCTTATTTCCACTTCACACAGCATCAAATCAATGAAATGGGTATCGATCACACGGTGGTACACTATTTCATGCGATTTCGTGCCGATCAAACTACCGAACTATTCCGATAAAAATGAACCCGTTCGCGCGGATCAAACTAACAAAGTGTCAATAATTCGAATTTCGATATTTCTTCGGCCGAAACATCTGGAAAGTTTTAACACGATAACCTAACTTAGACGGCTTTTTTCGAAAACATTTTTGATTTTAGAAAAAAAAAACATTTTTTGTATCGACGAAACTTTTTCCTTGCCAATTTGTCTAGGCTTTGTTTTTAGCCCACTTGTGCGTAACACAATCTGACCTCAATAATCTGAGATGTATTTCAGGTTCTGACACACGAATTCAAACAATTATTCAATTACTGACAGATTCCGTTTTCGGGTGTAATTTGATATTTCACAAAATGAAAAATTGTTTTACAAAAAATTCATTCGAATGAAAACAATTTCCGCGTTCCTTTTTTAATCTAGTCTTTTTGTCACGACAAACGTTTATTGTCCGCTTGAATGGAGAGTCAATTCATTTAGGGGAAAAACTGTGACTCTCCCTCTCCCTCTGTGTGAGTTCTCTGTATTTATGTTTTCTTCTGTTGATCCAGTTTTATGGTATACGAGAAAGCGGTTCGTTTTTCACATTTTCATCACGAATCCATACGCACACACACACACACACACTATCGCACGGAGAGCGAAAGAACGGCGAAATAAGTCCGTTTGATGAAATTACATTTTCATCATTTTGTTGTCCTGCCACCACAAAGGCTTTGTTGTGATATCGGAAAAATGGATTCCATGGTGCATAAAAATCATTCCATAAGAATACGATGATCGGTCTCGTTTATGCCAATTTCATCTTCAGTGGATTTTCATTTGAAGAGCCATACACAGCTATTGATAGAAAGATAGATATTTTTATTGACTTTCTTATTTCGATTTCGGTCAACCGTTTGTTTACCAAAACGAAGATTAGATTTATCACTGAGCGGGAGAAAAAGATGAGTATGGAGAGAAAGAAGCAAAAATGTTATAAGCTTCATTCGAAATTGAATTGAATAATATTCAATGGCCACTGGAATTTTTTTTCCCACAAAGTGGACACTGAGGAAGTAGTAAACCGAAAACGAATCGAAGTTGACGCAAAGTGATGACCTTTAAAAGCGATTTTTTTTGTTCGGTTCTTCCAAATCAAGGCGCATCTCTAATAGGAAAAGGAGCTGTTCAAGTCGATTTGTAGCTGGATTTTACGCTAGTTCCATGGTATCAAATTCGGATTGACCGCTTGGAACTTCAATGGTGCTAGTTTCAAGAGAATTGGAAAGAAATCCGCCAAGCACTATTTGCTTTTAAGCAATTGGAGACTCAATTGACTCAATGTCGAAATTCAAATGCCATTTTTCAAAACCAAACCACACTAATAGCATGGCAATTTCCGTGTGCGCTTATCACTTAAATAATCCGCGCGAAGATTTCATCCTCACATTTATCTTAATTTCATCTATTAGGCTGCAAAGGTTGGTGCGGCAACTGATTTAGAACCAATGAAGCGAAGTGCCAGTGCTATAAATATTGTTATCGTTTACTAGCGACGCATATATAGGTATGCGGAATATACTTGTAAAACTATACAACAAATGGGTGCGCGATTGTTGAATGGTCCGCAAAAATGGCTGCATCATTTGATGCTGGATTTGATGGTGGAAATAGAGTCATTGCCTAGGTATCTAAATGTATTCGAACGATGAATTTCATATGTCGTAGCTACGGAAAGTATTCCAATTTCTCCAGACAGAGAGCGATGTCTTCTGTCTGTCAGAAGGAGAGATGCCATTCGTGGAATGGCGAACGATTTATTTAGCGAATGCTTCTTCAATGAAACTAATGGATTTTCAGAGATGCTTTTTGAATTGTAAGTGACATATTTGACATACATTCGGATTCATCAATAAAATAAATGCCATTTAGAATCAAATCTGAAGACAACATTTTTGGCTGGTTTGGTGCCTCGACAGAGTATACTCTAATACGTATGTTGGTATCAAAGAAAATGGCATATTTTTGCGACTGTTTTCATGGGTGAGTCATCTTTTTCCAAAGAAATTAAAACTCAATGATATTTTCCACATTTTTATGTGGGTGATTCGGATCTTAGTACCAGAGTTTGACTTATACGCCAGATATATGCTATGGCATAAAAACAATATGCGCATATTTTTTGGTACATTTGGATTTTGTGACTAACTTACCATGTAAATTCATGTGCATTCCACGATTTTTTGTGGATCCCACGATTTTTTGTCCCAAATTCGTGGAATGCACATGAATTTACATGGTAAGTTAGTCACAAAATCCAAATGTACCAAAAAATATGCGCATATTGTTTTTATGCCATAGCATATATCTGGCGTATAAGTCAAACTCTGCTTAGTACTGCATACGCCGAAAATAGTTATGTTGAAAATTTGCATGTTCCTATTTTATGAGATTTGACTGGACTTTATTGTTCGTTATTCAAACTTTACATTTCCCATGCTGATGGTTTTTTTCTTTCTTTTCATTTTCTCTCGGTTTTTACACAGCAGCTGCTCATTTGAGTGTCGTCCGTATGAACCCGACCGCATGTAAGGCTGAATATTGGATTTTCATCACGACGCAGAATGTTTGGAAATATGTTTGTAGAAAATGAGAATATTTCATGAATTATGTTTGTTGATAGGAATGCGTTTGGCATGTGTGCAAGTAGAGCAAAATGACGACGAATACGACGGAGAAGATGTGGAGGCGGAGGAAAGAAATAAAAACACTATTGAAATTGCCGATGTTCAAGACAGAGTTTATGAAAAACTTTAGCATAAAGATAATAAGATGAGGGTATGAGCAAGAATGAGCTTGTTGAATCCACTTTTGCATGTGATATACATACATCGAAGTTTGCACAAATTTCAATGACACTTTGCTCGGTGGCTCACTTCATAGTAAGGCATTTTTCGAATGTTTTCAACTTGATGTTCGTCGACCGAATGTTCAAAGTAGCATTTCAATTCCATTCTGCTGACGGCAAGAGACACAGAATAGCGAAGAATAAAATACGCAACACATACGAGACGAAACGAAACGAAGCGGGTCCAACTCTTTCGTACAATTTGTAATTAGATTTTGCAAAAATTTTCGTGAAATTAACTCCGAGTTAAGAAAGTGAATGAGATAAGATGTGAAAATTCACTTACCGTGAATTGTGCACGTTTCCGACTTGCCACGCGTTCAGCTTGTTGACGCTACTCTTCCACTCTCTCTATGCCAGTCTGTGTGACTCTGGTTGATTGTTGGAGTAATTGTTGAAAATGATGTCACTTTACAACGCAGACGACGACGATGAGTTGGTCACCAATGCAATACATACAATATTTTCTGTAATATCCGTTTATAAACACTTAATAACTCAATTTGTTCAAGACTTTCTCGTTATCATTGAAATCAAGTGAAATGGAAAAGAAAACATTCATTATTACGAATTCAAATGGCCATTCATTCAGTTCGTTCTTGTTTTTTTTTCGTTCATTTCCATTCCTATCCATTTAAACTGATAGGTTTCTAGAAGACAAAGCGTTTCAATTTCAGTGAAACGTGTCAAATCTTTGTTTAAAATTTCTCTGGTGGCTTCTGAGTGTTTTTGCAACGATATTTTCTTTTCAATTTTCTCCAAAACACTTTTATGATCGACAACGGAAAAGAGTCGAAAAAAAAGAATGAACAAAAATTTCCTTTCAAAAGATTTTCTGTGTCAACAAGTCTGATGGTACTGTTGCTGATCTCAATAGGCGACAATGTGTATCCAATCGAACAATATGTTGTTACCTATTGATGTTTTTTTAAATTGAAAAACTAACGAAAGAAATTCGTCAACGCAATTTGGTTATCGTTGATCGGTGAATCAATTGGATTGATAGAATTAATTGTCTCCTTCTCTGAGTCTTGCAATCGCATTAGTTTGCTTGGCCGTTTCATCGTTCTTCTTTTTCTTTGGGCATCTCAATCGGTTAGTCAATCAACTGTGGAAATACCTTAAACATACATCAATTTGGATGAACTTTGTATTGTGTCACACTAAAATATTCTAAATAGCTTGATTGTGACGTGAAAAAGAAGAACCGGAAAAAAGAAAATTTGTTTGCTTTTGTTCTGTCACAAGTTTGATCCCAAGCGGTTTGGCTTTTTTCCATTTGAAAACTGCTGAGCCTGATCAACGAGCTTATTTTTGTGGAAATTGCAAAATATCTCACACATTCATCAAATCAGAGTTCGCAAAACGGCACGACCAAATAATCAATGTACCATGAAAAAGGGACAAGAAAAAAAAAAACGAATAACCGCTCCAATCGTGCGAGCAATAGGCAAAAATGAGACATAGAGAAAAAAAAAACACTGAAGTTTGGAATTTATAATTTATGACATATCAGAAATGGTGGAGCGCAAAAGACAACCACACTGAAGAATCAATCAATAAATTCAAAGCAAAGACCATAAAATATGCGATTAAAAAAGTGAGCGAAAGAGAGGCAGAAAGAGAGAATGAGAGAAAGCACACAGTTGAATCAAACACCGAGGAAAGATGAAATATGTCACGCGCTCTCATTTGAACCCATCTTCATTTAACACATAAAAACCACTTAAAAGTGCGTGCTCAACACGCTGTTTGCCATTGCCAAAGATAGCGAACGGTGCCTGTATGTGTGTGTGTGTAATGCGCACACAACGCTTTTGTAAACATATCGCCTGGCACATCGGTAAAATGCGCTACGGTTCATTCAATGTGTAACAGCCGAATACATCATAATTTGCTAATAGCTATAAATTCTCGCGTTTGATTCTTCAGCAGCGCAACAAAAAATGAAGAAGAATCATCACACTTTCGCTCTTTCTGGCTGGCTTGCTCTATCCCTGGCGGTATCGTCTTCACCGTCATTGTCACTTGTTCGGTTTGACTTTGTCTCTCTACGACCGGAATAATAATTGTGCACGGCGTGCGAAAAAAAAACCCAGTGTGATCGTTTGATAGTGTTTGAAATGCTCATGCGGCAGACTATGAATTAATCATCATTGACGGTGCAAGCCAAAGGTGTCATTATATTTGGCTACACAGTCGTCAAGTGAGGGAGAAATAGAGAGTGTGCCAGCAGCGATGTACTTGCACAATGACTTATTAGCGGGAGCTATACTAATCGAAATGCCGTTTCATGCTTTGCACCGATTTTCATATGGAAATTCCGTTCAAATGTCAAAACATCTATTACACGACTGTCACTGTCTCATGAGCACGTAAAACATAATTACAACTGTATCATTTGTTTTTTTTCGTCACGAAAACTTCCCTCGCGCTATGAAATAGATGGAAAATCTGATGGTTCGAATTCTTTCTGCCCGATTTTGGTCTGGCTTCGCCGTTTTCAGTTGCGCGTAAACAGCAAAATACTTATGTCGGCCTACTGAACCAATTCAATGAGCAAGTTTGAAAATTAAACAAACTTTACGATCGGCCGAACCGTTTGAAAAGTGTATGATAAACTTCTGTTGCCAAATTATTATCCAACCGGTTCGGCAGAGTCAGTCGTTTTTCTTGTCACCCTTTTGTTTAGCACGTTCAAGTGGTTTCAGCCACACATACTTTCACTTTCTCTCTCTTCCCTCGTTGCCTCAACATGAAATCCCAAGGTCAGTGCACACTCGAAACTTCTTCAAAGTGGAAAAAAGGATCGAAAAAAGGTTCTAACGACTATTTGATGCGAGAAAAAAACAGAAGTTAAGTTATATTACAGTCTGTGTCACATGTTGAGCTTTGGGCTGTGCCAATGTCGAGATATTTGGTATCGTTGTTGACATTCTGGAATGGGTTTGTGCTAATCAGTCAACATGTTAACAAGAATTTCCATTGGTGTTACGATACACACTCAATGATCTTTCGAATTTTTGGATTTGCATTTCTTAAACCAGTTGCTCACACACACACACACACACACACACTAGCTACGTCTCAACGTAGCTGACTCAGTGTCAATTGGATGCTCTAAAGTTTCAATGACGTTTTCATCCTGAAAGCCTTCTCAAACACGTAATACCAAATGCGAAAGCATGCAAATAAGCATACACAGCCAACGCCATAAACAAACACCGATCCACTTGAAATGATACAAACAAACAACATTTTGCGTGCTTCAGGAAACTATATAAACCACCCTCCTCCATCCACACAATACAAAGGCTTTTTGTAACTCATAATCACAAACAGAAGGACACACACACACACACACACACACACACACACAAGGGGCATGGCTCAATTGCTCGCGCTATGTGTGCGCGCGAATTTATTATGTATTTGATTTATAGCGCAAATATTTTTCATCCAGAAAAGTTTTTCGCATTATATTTTAAATGCCATTTCGATATGTTCAAAGGTCATTAATTATTAGCGCGTTGGCTGAGCCGAAATGTGGGCCCGGCTCTCGCTCGCAGCCAAAACAGCTGAACATGAACAAGGTAAAATGTGACGAAAATTTCGTTGTTGGTTTTTGTTTTTGCGATGGTGACATCGCTTCGTAGCAAATGTTTGTCATTGAAATTTCAAAATCGATTTGATTTCAACAATTGAATCGTATTTTTTTTCAAGTTTTGATTTAAATTAAATCCAATGAAAAAGGACTGTTCATTCTCATCAATCGAATGGATTTTTTTTCCTCGTCAAACAAGCCTTCGGATGGAAATGTCTTTTGGGAATTCTATTTTCTCGATTTCAAACTTTTTCCATTTCACAAAGTTTCGAAAGAAAGAAAGAAAGTCGAAGCGGGAATAAATCGTGCAAAATCCTGGTGGATTCGAGGGTTAATGAAAAATTCTCAAAAGAATTGTTTTAGATATTCTTCGTTGGAAAATACATTCGCTATTGCGCTTGGAACAATTCTTTCGGGTTAGAACATTGTTAAAATTTCATTCAAATAACCGTAAAAGCGTTCTAAATATGAGTCGGTAGATCGGTTAGTCATCGCTTTCGTCGTCTTTGTGCCGTCGTTGTCGTTGAAAATCATCATTCATTTGATTGAGCTATTTGACTAATTAATGTCAAAGTGTCACTTGAAAAATAATATTTGGCATATGAGAATATAGTCGAAAATTAGTGGTGTCCAAGTATCCAAACGAACGATAGAAACTATGCTGGGATATGTCATTATATGAAATGGGCACTTCAGTGAAAATTGTAAATTCCATGAATTTTCGCTTTTATGCTTTTCGAATCGACATGATTTATATTTAAAACCAACATTTCACTCATCATTTGCGGCTATTGACGACAATGCCATTTTCCATTTGCAATGACACAGAAGCGAGTCAAATAAGTGCTTGAAAGCGATATGTATACTCCTTTTTGTCGTCATAATTGCCCCAGAAAGCAAGGAGCAAAAAAAAAACACAAACAAACGAACCAAAAAAATTATGGATTCGGGGAAAAAACAACTGACGACAAGTAACCCAGGTCTATCTAAAGGCTAGCGATTGGAATGAATGCTATGTTTTTTTTCTATTGCCGAATGAAGGCACATTTAATTGACACGGTATTAAAATAACTGATCGGTTGCAAACAACCGAGAAGCACCGTAAAGGAGGTGGGTGAAGTTTAAGCGCGCTCGGTATTGTATGTATATTTTTATAAAGAGTTGTTGTTAAACATAAGTGATTTTAAAATTTGAAAACAGGTGGTTTTGGCATATCGCTCGGCGCACAAAAACGCGATATGTGTACACACAATGAACATGTTTCGCCGCCCGAAGCCGAAACGAAGCGCCCAATCAGTGTCACGAACGAAACTAAATTTAGTTTTGTCATCGTCGTTTGTTGTTGTTGCTATTCGTCTTCTTCTTCTTCTTCTTCGCTCGTATTGTCCACTTGTGTGCTTGTTGGGTACGGCGTTCGAATAAGGCTCTCAAGATGAATTGTCTATTAGTTTATATATATGTTTGTTGCTCACTCAACGGGATGAGAACAAAAAAAGAATTTATCGTGACATTGCGTTTTGCATTTTGCTACGATGTTTTATTTATGTTGGGCACAGACGTGCACACCTTGGCTTTTTTATATTTTATGTATTCTAATCGTTTAATTGTTATTATGCGAGTGAGCTATCGCAGTTTGTCCATCCTCCACCTTGTTCTTGTTCTTTTTTTCCATGCCCTTTCTCTCTCCAACTCACACAAGACTCGCTCGCTTTTCTTTCCCGTTATTTCTTTGGCGTGTAGACTCACACACGGTTTAATTCTTTGGCTCATTCACCACCATAATATAAATAATGACGTTGATGACAATGATAATAATGAACATGTATAGCGGCAGTGGTGGCGGCGGCGGCAGCGTGAAACATT